AAATTAACATGTCACTTATTTAATTATATTTATAATTTTAAATTATGAGTATTGGTTAACATTTACTTTTTTCTTTATTAGGTGAAGTTCAAATAACAACTTCAAAGGATGTCACACATTTAATTGGTGTTCACGATATTCCCGAAGTTCAAGATTTTCTGCATAAGTAAATAATTTTTAAATTTATCTCTTACATTATGGTTACGGATATATTAGTAGATTATATTTTAAATGAATATTTTTTGTGTAGGATGACAACTAGCAAAATCAAAGATGTGAAGCTTAGATCGAATAGCTCTTTGGTTGTCAAGAGTGAAGTTCAAGGACTTGAGGATGGTGATGTCATTGTTAGCTCTGTTGATTCTATCCATGAGACGGAAGAGGTAGTATAATATAAATATTCCGATTTTGTACTTATTATACCAATTTTGTATAATAACATTCTGACTTTGTTTATGCTTACAAATTTAATGTTTTTATTTTAAGGATATGGATACTTGGGTGTGTGCCTCAATTGACTCAATTATTGATAATTGGTGGTATCTTGCTTGCAAAAGATGCAATAGCAAGATGGATATTGAAGATGGTGACATGCATTGCACCAAGTGCACTAATACACGTGGCATTGCAAGGTTGGAACAACATTTTTTATGTTTGTCTTTTCGCATATTATAGATTATAAATAGTTTACGTTTTTTTTTTTCTTAAAAGTACAAGATCCAATTTGGAGTCGCTGATTGTACTGCAAGTGCTGTCTTCATGTGTTGGGATAGAGAGTGTGAAAGGATGATTGGAAAGTCTTGTGAGCTTCTAAAGCGTGAAATTTCTGTGCTAAAGGTGACTCTTATTAACAAATATATATATATATATATATAAATGCTTTAATTCGAAATCCATTTCTATTTATAATTCTTATAATTAATATTACTATGCGAATGTAGAATAAAACTGTTTTTGAGTTGCCGGATGATCTAGAAGACTTGGTTGGGAGAACTTTTCTTTTCAAGGTCCGAATCAAAGCAAATAATAATGAAAAAAAGGGCTATTCATCAACTTTCTCCGTTTTGAGGGTTATTCTTGATCCAAATTTGGTTTCCAAGTACAACCATTGGGTTGTAGAGAATGATGTAAGTTTGTTTAAATAGATAAATACAATTTAATTATATTCCTTTCGTGTACAATACATGATACATGAGTTGACAATTAATTATTATGCTTTTTCTTTATAGAATTCGGATTTTATGACCCTTTTACAAAGGGAGGAAGCTACTAAGGTTAGTATAAACACTAATAATTAAATATTAAATACATTTACTTATAAGTTAATTTTATTTTCTTTCAAGTTTATACTTGACTTTATTTTGAATAGGACGATGATGAAGAGGAAGTTATTTCACCGCTTAAGACTGTTCGAGTTGTTGATCAAGTGAGTGACACATCCAATGCAAAACGGAATTTGATGGATGAGTTTGCTATTGACCCCGAGGCTGAACAAGCTGAATCAGTTACAAGCAAGAAAGGAAAGGCGAAAGTTGATGACTATGGGAACTTACTTTCTACTGATGGAGGAAATAATAATTAGGTGTTTGGTTTTTGAAGTACAAGACAATTTTATTTGAATTTCTTTGCTTAGATGGTTTTGTTTATTATGGTTTGGTTAGTTTGTTTTCTTTGAAGAAATAATTGCAACTTTATGTTGCTTTTTGGTTGAGTCTCTAGAAAACATATAGTTTTCGAGATTTCAATCAACTTATTAATAAAGTTGATTTCCCCTTTGAATTTATACATTTGTTTAGATCGTTATCATTATGTGCAAGTTTCATATTTTTATTTGTTTTAAATAGATACCAACATTTAAATACTTGTGAATTACTAACTATTCCTAAGAAGTTAAAACGTAATCAACCTCCTATTGTTAATCCTATCGAATATAACTAAACAGATTTAATAACTTTAATTAAAATAGATTATAACAAGTTAATATATAATAGTAATTTATTATCGATTTATTTTGTTTGAAAGAAAAAATAAATTGCGACTATTTTTGTAAATCATATTTTGCCAATTTCGAATTCTTATTTTTGTTAGGATACTTCATATCATCATGAAATATATAGAAGTGCGAGCATATCTCCTACAAGTTTGAGCATATCTCCTATAAAGTTGCCAGATTCGGTTTTAATATTTTCCAAACCAACTATTGTGTTAATATATTCTATAAGATTATGCCTTATCTAATGTAAACTAACATTCCCCTTTTCCTAATTTTTAGCACACGCTGTTGTATCATCTTTGTCACGAGAATATAAATACAGATACATACAATTGATTTCTTCGGGAGCAGAATACATGAATTAAATGACAGCGTGTGTTTTTTGGAAAACGAATAATAAAATTATAAATATTATTACTACGCATAAATATAAATAGTACTTAATAATCGTAGAACATGGAAAACGAACTATAAATTTATAAATATTATGTTGTCAATATCGATGGATAATTTTGGTAAGCAAACTTAATATCATCTTGATTTTGAGACTAACTATGTAGAGTTATTCACTTTTTTGATGTACAGAATTTTTTATCTAAAACATATATTTAGTTACCAAAAAATCAGAACTAAATCAGATATACTCCTAATGATATGGTACGGAATAATTTATCTAAAACGTATATTTAGTTACCAAAAAATCAGAACTAAATCAGATATCAGATATACTCCTAAATTATTGACCAAATACCTTAAATCTCTTATAAATATTATCATTATCTCATAACTACAATTTGACATCGGCATTTTTTACGAGAGAACTTCTACAGGTACGAATATTCTCAATAGTATTTTTCACATGATTCAAAATATTGCAGGTTTGTATGTAGTTGAGTTCATATTTTTGAAAAACATGTTTTCGAAACTTGATTAAGTATAACCATACCTCATTTTTTTTTGCAAGTTTTAAACGGATTGCTATACAATATGAAGGAGAACAAAGGTGGATACAAAGCCGATCTCACACACAAACAACCATACAGATCAACAATGCGAGATAAACATCAAATAATCGAAGAAGGTAAATTAGATTCACGTAAATGTCTTATTTTAAACTTTACCTGTGAATAATAAAACTTTACCTGTGCCATGAACAATTAAACATTACCTGTGCTGTGAATAATGAGGTATGGTGAAGACTGATGTATTGTGAAGAATGTAGAGGCCGTCTCTTTTTTGTATCATCGTCCTCGCATCAATGTATAGATTTATGTCAGAATTGTGTCAGAATTTCATATCAATTAATCAGTTCATTGCAATTTTGTTTTATTGATAAAATATAAATAATAAATAATATAAACACATGAACAGTAACATAATGTTTACTGGTGCTGGTGACTTAGGGCCTGTTTAATTTTAGTTGTGTAAACTAAAGTATTGTTAGTGGGATATTATTTGTGTAAACTAAAGTATTGTTACTGGTGAGTTGAACCGTATATTTACCTTTTGATGTCGATGAACATTTTCGCTACAGATAGTTATGCACTTGATTGTTCTAACTTCGGATCCCTCCAGTAGGTTAGCTTATATGTTATCTATAAACAAAAATTTATAAAATGTTAAAAAAACAATCATATGAGGATATAAACTTATAAAGTATACTATATCTAATGCTTTATTGTAAAACACTTACATATAACCCAAACCTTATTTGGTGTTCTCTCTGTATTCTGCTACTTAGTGTAATTCAACCAAGCTTGGTGTAATTCAACCAATGTCCTTGCTCCGAGTGTTCTCATGCATCAAAAGAAATTGGTTAGAATTTAAAGATTGAACTTACAGTTGAACTTAGAACATTACGAATTTCAAAGAATTTGTTCATCCATTTTTTAATCAAATGTGCTCTTCAGTCAGATAGACAGAAAATTCAACAAAGTTTCACAGAAATCAAACAAGTGTCACAAAAAAACTATATGCTATCAACATACATATATTTCAGCCTTATCAAATAATTCGAACCACATGCCAGCCTATGAAACCATTTTGAAATCAAAAGTTTATAAAATGTTGAAAATAACATGTTATGAGGATATAAACTGATATCTTATATTATATCTAATACCAATTTCAAAACATTAGTTCATGCATGTTAATCAAATGCGCTCTTCACTCAGAGAGACAAAAAATTCAAACAGGTTTCGCAAAATTCGAACAAATATCACAAAAAAAATATATGCTTTGAACATACAAGTATTCCAACAAAGTTAGAGGATTCGAACTACAATCAGTGAGAAACCAAACAACAAACAGATTTTGTTTTCAGATTGACGCAAGGAACATTTGAAAAATTATTCAAAAATTTTAGATCTAACATAAACATACAATTTTCAGTGAATTACAACAAGATCGAAAATGAAACTAAAAAAAAAAAATTCCAAAGGTAGTCGAACTTACGTTTTTCACATGTGCCCAAACAGATCTTGGATTAAATTTAATCGTAGTCATCGGAAGTAAACATCGAAACCTATTTCAATTTTCACTTGATTTTTCGATAAATCAAAAAAATTCTTGTGAAAAAGGAAATCGATTCGGTCGATATTTACAAAATTAGAAGGCTTGCTGAACATTAAAGGACAACTATACTATAAAATCCAAACAGATTTGTAAAGGAAAGATCGTTTTCGGACAAAAAAATCGAGAGAGAGATAGATCAAAGAGGCGACCAAATCGGATGGAAAGAGGAAATGAGGGTAAGATAGAGATAGATCCAAAGCGGCGAAATCGGAAATGAAAACCCTACGAGTGTTGGGTGCTTTTTATACCAATTTTGATGTAATATCAGTCGTTCGATTTTACTGGATTAGTTTTGGCCGTCCGATCGCGAATTAGCCTTAAAAAAAAAAAATCTGATAAATGTTGGAAGTTGGGTTGAAAACTAAAAATCTGGCCCAACTGTATGAATTAGTATTTGGGCCAGATTATTTAACAAAACCTGCGGCCCGATTAAATGTATAGTAATTTGGGTTTTACCTATTAAGCCCAAATACTGTAATTATTTATCCCATTAAATTAAGTTTGAAAATTATTTTTATACTATGAAATTGGGGTTTAATTCATGGTCTATATAAAATAAGAAAATGTTATTTAGGCCACACTTATAATAGATTTTTAAATTATTTTCTCAATAAATTTTCTAATAATAATTTATTATGTGTTTTGTATAAGTAAAATAAAATTGCTAAAAATTATTTTTTGTCATCTTTAATTAATTTGTTTTTTGTTTTATACATTTATATATTTTATATAATATGACTTTTTTTATTTACTGATTTTTTTTGTATCCTTAATATTCCATTCTATTTCTATAGGATATGCTACACCTTCTCCTGTTACTGGATCTTCTTTTATTCCGATTGAAAACAACAATAATTCCGGCAAGGTTTCATATCAATGGCGAAGTGTGTTGCATACTTCTCAAAGTCTACCATTATCAAACATCACCAATGGTAATTTTTTTTAAATAATATTTTTTCTTAAATTTATTTATTTCTTTACATGCATGTAAATAATATATATAATTAAAATATTTTTCTTATGTAGTATTCGAAACAGCCCCGATATTTACTCCATTAAATTCAACATCCAAAATTATTGCTTCTGGTGAGACACTTATATTTTTATGAAATTACATTATATATGTTTAATTTTTTTCTGTAGTTTTTTATAAAACAAATGTGATGTGTGTTTTTGTGATTATAATTGTTTGCAGAAAATGTTGGACCGTCACAGTTCATTGATCTTACCAGTGATGATAGTGATGACGGTTTGCTTCTTTCTTCAAATTCTAATTCTAATTCTAATAATATATTCAAGCAACTAGAAGGTAAAATACAATTCTATTTGGGTGTATTTTTCGTAAAAACAAAAAAAAAAAACTATATGGAATATTTTATTGTGAATTAGTACATTTAAATGAGTATTATGTTTCGATTATTGTAGATATTTTTTCGCATGCAGGGGTTATTGATCTCAATGAGGATTACCATGTAACGCCTATCAATCAAGTATCACATAAAACTATTAAAAGAAACCGTGGTCGTCCTAAAAATATTTTAGGAAATACGTCCGCAAAAACTGGTATGTTCTTATTGAAATATAGGATTTATCACTTACGCATTATATTTCACTATGATTTTTTTTTTTAATTATTTATTTTGTACTTATCAACATTTTCTAGATATTGAAAAAATAACCGCCACTCCAAACACTACTATTTCAAGTGAGATTTTCACTCATCGTGCGGACGATCAATTACCAGTTACCACTCTAAAAAGAAAACGTGGGCGACCTAAAAAGATTATAGGAAATACGTCCACATCACCTGGTATGTTGTTATTTAACAAATTAATTTATCGCTTATTGCATGATATTTCAGTATAAATTTTTAAGTAAATATATTTTAATTGTTTAGGTTTTGTAGAACTTGAAAAAATAACCGTCAATCCAACTCCATACACAAATATATCGAGTGAGTTATTGGATCACAATGCTGACTGTCAACTACCACTGACGGAGCTTAAAAGAAACTGTGGTCGACCTAAAAAGGTTCTAGGAAGTACGTCCACACAAACCGGTATGTTGTTATTTAAATAATTGATTTATCACTTATTACAATATATTTATGTATAATTTTTTTTTTTAACAATTTTTTTTTTCAATTATTTACGTTTTTTAGACCATGAAAAAATAACTGTCAATCCAACGCCATACCCAACTATATCGAGGGAGATATTGGATCACACGGCTGACGATCAATTACCACTCACGTCTCTCAAAAGAAAACGTGGACGACCAAAAAAAATAGTTGGAAGCACGTCCACACAAAATGGTATGTTTATGAATATTATTAATTTATTTGTGAATTATATCATTATATTTAGTTGTCAGTTTTGAATTGATTATGTTTATATTATTGTAGGTATTGATTTGCGTGATCAAGTGCCACCTACAAATCAAAAGAAAAAATCTGGTCGACCTAAAAAAATGTTGGCGAGCACTTCTACACGATCCGGTTTGTTATAATTTGAATTTTGATTTTATGACAAATTGTGTAAATTGATTTTATTATATAGTATTAAAATATTCTTCATCATAACAATCGTAGAGTACTGGGACATGGGTGATGCCAACATCGAATGCGTGTACTGCGGAGCAATGTTTTGGTATGCTGAGAGAAAGTCTTCTGATAGAACGTCGGCTGTTACCAAGTACGGTGGTTGTTGTGTGAATGGTACGATTGAACTACCTGTTCTACATAATCCGCCACAGTTTTTGAGTGAACTGCTACATGGAGATAGCCGCGTTAGCAAACACTTTCAAGAAAACATTAGATCCTACAACAGCATGTTCGGGTTTACTTCTCTGGGAGGCAAGATCAATACCGACATCAACAAAGGATCGGGACCACCCGTTTTCAGTTTACACGGACAAAACTACCATCTCATGGGTAGTTTACTTCCTTCTGAAGGTTCAACTCCAAAATTTGCACAGCTCTATATATATGACACTGATAATGAAGTAACCAACAGAATGAATGCCGTGAGGTCAGTATTTAAATAATATCTTAATCGAGTTTTTTGTTATTTTTTTTTATAATATTTTATTTGATTGCCTTAATAACATTCTTTCATTTTTCAGAAATGTTGACGGTGCTACTGATTTGAATGGAGAAATTATTGCTGGATTGACGACCATGTTGGATGAGCACAACGAACTTGTGAAATCATTTCGTTTGGCTAGAGAAAGAATACAAGATCACGGCGAATCGAATGTCAGGATTCGTTTAATTGGAAGGAGATTTAATGATGCCAGACGTTATAACTTGCCTACCAGTTCTGAAGTTGCGGTATTGGTCGTTGGAGATTTTGATCAGGCTATGGGTGAGCGAGATATATTGGTTGAAACCAAGAGTGGACGACTACAGCGAATAAATGAGCTTAATGCTTCATATTTGGCTTTACAATATCCCCTTCTTTTGCCCTACGGTGAGGATGGCTATAGAGAAGACATTCCATTTTCAAATCGAAAAGTTGAAAAAGAGCGTGGTCGAAAAACAGTGAGTGTTCGGGAATACTTTGCGTACCGAATCCATGATCGAAAACACGAACCATCTACTATTCTTTCAGCGAGAAGATTGTTTCAGCAGTTTGTCGTTGATGCATATACCATGGTTGAATCATCGAGGTTGCGGTATATACGATTCAATCAGAGTCGACTCCGATGTGATATGTACAATAGATTGGCGGATGCTGTTCTCCAGGGCGATGTCGATCCGAGCTCTAGAGGAAAAAGAATTATACTTCCTTCTTCATTCACTGGGGGACCTCGAAACATGATTCAAAACTACCAGGATGCAATGGCAATTTGTGGATGGGCAGGTTATCCCGATTTGTTTATAACATTCACATGCAATCCAAAATGGCCTGAGATTGTTCGTTTTTTGGAATCAAAGAGACTACGACCTGAGGATCGCCCGGATATTATATGTAGGGTTTTCAAATCAAAATTGAAGGAATTAATCAGGGATTTTCGTAAAAAGCAAATTTTTGGCAAAGTCATAGCAGGTATTCTTTTAAGAAAAAAAAATTGTTGTATATATGTCCATCGTGGTGTCTAACACCATTTTAAAAATTATTCTAATTGTTTTATCTTCTTTTGTGTTTTGTAGTTGTCTACACCATTGAATTTCAGAAGCGTGGATTGCCGCATGCTCATATACTACTATTTCTCGCCAAAGAAAATAAATTCCCAAATCCTTCAGACATTGACAGAGTAATATCTGCGGAGATACCTGATGAGACGTCGAATCCATTGTATTATGAGGCAATAAAAGAGCACATGATCCACGGACCTTGTGGTTTGGCTAGAAAATCGTCTCCGTGCATGGTGGATGGCAAATGTAGTAAACGGTTTCCAAAAAAGTTTGTCGATTTAACCACTGTCGACCATGAAGGTTATCCACGATACAGACGTCGAGACGATGGAAGGCATATTGAAAAAAATGGTGTCGTTGTGCATAATGGTTATGTCGTGCCTCACAACCGCAAATTGTTGATGAAATATGGAGCGCATATTAACGTCGAGTGGTGTAATCAATCGCGATCCATAAAGTACCTTTTCAAGTACGTCAATAAAGGTCATGATCGTGTCACCGCATCATTCTATCAGACGACTGCGTATGGAGAAATAGAGAAACCTGTTGACGAGATCAACATGTTCTATGACTGTCGGTATGTGTCTTCTTGCGAGGCGGCGTGGAGGCTATTGGGTTATGAACTGCAGTACAAAAAACCTTCTGTGCAACGTCTGAGTTTCCATTTGAAAGGTGAACAAAATATTGTTTTTGATGATGATGATCCTATCGATGAAGTTCTTAATAATCCCACCGTCAATGAGAGCCAATTTTTGGCATGGATGGAAGCGAACAAGATGTATCCCGAGGCGAGGAAACTGACGTATGTTGAGGCGCCGTCCAAATTTGTTTGGAACAAACAAGAAAGAGTTTGGACTCCTCGAATAAGGCCAGGTTGTATAGGTCGTTTGAGCTATGTTCCTCCCAATGCTGGTGATAATTATTATTTGAGATGTTTGCTCAATGTTGTTCGTGGAGCTACTTGCCACGAGGATTATATGAAGGTAGGCGATGTTCAATACATGTCCTACCACGATGCTTGCTATGCACGAGGTTTGTTGGGTGATGATCGAGAGTACATTGATGGAATTACCGAAGCAAGTCAGTGGGCATCTGCTGATTCCCTTAGGCGCATGTTTGCGTCTTTATTGGTTTCTGGATCCTTAGGCAAACCCGATGAAGTTTGGGAACGGTGTTGGCAATTTCTATCTGACGACATACTATACAAGCAACGTCGTCTTTTTGATAATGATGGTATGAGATTTAGGGGGTTTTATATTATGCATTAATCAAGTATTATAATAACATTGTTTTTCTTAATTATTAAATTTTTTTGTTTTCCACGTAAAAAAGCCAAATCTAATATGTCATCTATCATTATTTCAGATTTGAAGCTGGGTGATGCAGATATAAAAAATTTAGCTCTTGCAGAGATTGAGACATTATTGAGACATCGTGGCACAAGCCTTCGGGACTATTCTACTATGCCTTTTCCAGATATGAGCAGTATGAATTCAAGTGTGAACCGTCTGGTTATGGATGAACTTAACTATGACCGTAAGGCTCTAGCTAATGAGCATGATGAATTGCTGACACATATGACCGATGAACAGAAGGGTGTTTATTCCAGAATAATGACATCTGTTGATTCCGGTAGGGGCGGCGTGTTTTTTGTTTATGGTTATGGTGGAACTGGCAAGACATACTTGTGGAGGACTTTAGCTGCTGGGCTAAGATCGCGTGGTCGAATTGTTCTTTGTGTTGCATCAAGTGGAATAGCATCTCTCCTGTTGCCGGGCGGTCGCACTGCACATTCTCGATTTGGCATTCCTCTTTCTGTGCATGAAAATTCATCGTGTGATATCAATCAGGCTAGCCCCCTTGCAGAGTTGATTATTCGCTCTTCGTTGATCATATGGGATGAGGCCCCTATGATGCACAAGCATTGTTTTGAAGCTGTTCAAGCTTCTTTTAAGGCAATAATGGGAGCAATCGACCCGGCAAATCATCATAAACCGTTCGGAGGCAAGACTGTTGTGTTTGGTGGAGACTTTCGACAAATCCTGCCTGTAGTTCCGAAGGGGAATCGTCAGGAGATTGTTAATGCTGCTATTAATTCTTCTACCATTTGGGGAGACTGTACTGTGCTTAGACTTACAAAGAACATGCGTCTTCAGAGCATTGGCGATTCGAATGAACGTGACGAGCTAGCCGCTTTTGCTGATTGGATAGCGAGCATCGGAGATGGCACATTAGGGGGTACAAATGATGGATGTGCTCCGATAGACATACCAGATGATCTATTACTAGAGCCATCCGATGATCCAATTGCAAAAATCGTTGAAAGCACGTATCCGATGTTCAAGAATGCAACCGATGATCCAAGTTACTTGAAAGATAGGGCTATACTCGCGCCAACACTCGAGATCGTAGAATCTATAAATGCATACATGTCGTCGTTGAATTTGACTGAAGGACGCACGTATTTAAGCTCAGACAGTACGTGTAAATCTGACTCCAATACCGACTTTCTGGCACAACTCCATACTCCTGAGTTCTTGAATACTATCAAGTGTTCTGGAACACCGAATCATGAGTTGAATTTGAAGGTCGGAACTCCAGTTATGTTGTTGCGGAATATGGATCACTCAATGGGACTCTGCAATGGTACACGATTGGTTGTGACCAAACTCTCCAATCATGTTCTCGAGTGTAAAATTCTTACTGGCGATCATGCAGGTGATAAAGTTTTGATACCTCGAATGACCATAACTCCTTCGGATGTTAGAGTACCATTCAAATTCCAAAGAAGGCAGTTCCCCATTGTGGTTTCGTATGCAATGACTATAAACAAGAGTCAAGGTCAATCATTATCTCATGTTGGCTTATTCTTGAAGAAACCAGTTTTTAGTCATGGCCAGTTATATGTCGCTGCCTCCCGTGTTACTAATAGAAAGGGTCTTAAAATTTTAATTTGTGGAGAAGAAGGTTTGAAAGCAAATCAAACCAATAATGTTGTGTATAGAGAAGTGTTTAATAATATATGATTTTTTTTTTTTGGTAATTTGTATTTCTCTCTATTTTTTTCTATTACAATCAAATTATTAATTTATAAACAAAAATATTAAATAAAGTTTAGACAAAAAGGTTTGAGGAAATTATCCCACCGTACTACGCACCGGTACTACATTATGTTTCCGAAAAAAGTATGCAGTCCGTGCGTCGCACGGGTTACGTACTAGTTGTTCAAGCAGGAGTAACCCAAAATTGTTGGAACAGGCCTCCTTAACATTCGTAATGATAAGCTACTTGTTAATGGTAACATGGGATGACTTTCAACCCGACACTGCTTTTCTATTTTCACTAATGATAGGCATCTTTGATTTTGCGCACACATAACAATTATCTGTCTCCATTTTTTTGTTTTGTTTTGTTTTTTTAGGCAATATTATCCCATCTTTTGCATCAGTAATCTAACCTTTCTTGAACACAAGAAAAGTTTAATTGATTTAGTGGCGCACTCATTTTCCTTGTTTTGCATTGGAGAATTAAGGGAAAAGAATTTATTTCCCCAAAAATAAGAAAGGCATAAATGAATGACGACATCTCTTTTCCTGAGAGAAGTAGTATTAATAAATGACAGGGCCAGAGCGTGGGCCCTACAGGTGGATCGTGCAACGTGCCGCGATACCAAACTTGGCTTGGCTCCTTCGATTTCTCGCGATACAATTATCCCTTTCATTTCACTCTACAGATACAGTTCTTCTCCTCCAGGCTCCAACACAGAACCTCTTCGTCTCTTTTGCTTTGTTTTATGCACTCAATAATTAATTACCCACTTCCTCTCCATCACTTCCATTCTCACGACCATAACCATGGCGGATGACGAGCCCGTGCTCTACTTGCATGGAGATCTACAACTGCACGTTATCGAGGCCCGCTCCCTCCCCAACATGGACATCATATCCGAGCGCCTGCGCCGATGCTTCACTGGCTGCGGCGCGTGCCATCCCACCGCCGACGGAGACCGCGATGCAAGCGGCGGCGGGAGCACCGGCCACAGAAAGCTCCGCCATCACCGTAAGATCATCACCAGCGACCCCTACGTCACTATCTCCGCCCCCCAGGCCACCCTGGCCCGCACGCGCGTGCTCTCCAACTCCCAGAACCCTAGGTGGGACGAGCAGTTTCATATCGCCTTGGCTCATCCCATGGCCTTTCTGGATATCCGCGTCAAGGATAATGATGTTTTTGGGGCCGACACCGTAGGGAAGGTCTTGATTTCCGCCGAGAAAATTGCCTCCGGTCAGGAGATCTCCGGTTGGTTCCCTATAATTTCTTCCACGGGGAAGCCCCCCAAACCGGACACGGCCTTGCACCTTCAGATGAAATTTATTCCCTGCGACAAGAACCCACTGTACAGCCATGGCATTGCGGGCGACCAATTGCATAGAGGGGTAGGGCACACTTATTTTCCCCTTAGGAAAGGGAGCTCCGTGACACTGTACCAGGACGCACATATCAGGAATGAGGACAAATTGCCCCGAATTGAGTTAGATAATGGGCTAGTTCGCGAGCATGCTCGGTGTTGGGAGGACATTTGCCACGCCATAGCTGAGGCACATCATTTGGTATACATTGTGGGCTGGTCCGTGTTTCATAAGATTAAGCTGATTAGGGAACCCACGAGGCCTCTGCCTCGAGGAGGGGACCTGACTCTTGGAGAATTACTCAAGTATAAGTCTCAGGAAGGGGTTCGAGTTCTGCTCTTGGTTTGGGATGATAAAACTTCGCACGATAAGTTCTTCCTTAACACAGTATGGCTGCCATCTATGTGATATGTTATTTTATTGCTTAATAGTCTATAGCTTATGCACTTTCTGTCAGTTGGTGAATTCTGGAAATGTTCGGTAGATTTAGTTTTGCGGACTGAGTATTGACTATTGAGGAATACTTAAATCTGGATGCATACTTTGCAAGTTCCAAGTCTGTTTAGGATGTTGTGATGGAACTATTGTAAGTGAAAATTTTCAGGGTTTCAATTTTCAACTTCTGTACATAGTAACAGACATGTTATTCCTTATTGCTATGCATATTTTCTTCAGCATCCCATTGCAGGCCCATTTTAATGTTCTAAATTTATTTGAGATTAATTCCGTGGGTTGCGTTGACTTCCCCTTCTCATCAATTGTATTGCGATCTATTTAGTTTGATATAGTAGTAAGGCTTGTACGTTTCATTCTATGTTATGTTAATTCTGACTAAAGTCTCTTACATTGTGGATCACAATTTACTCTTGGTAAGAGTCAGTGATGTTTTACTCTTGTATCCCCTAGAAATGCACAAGATTTTTGTGAGGAGCTTAATTTTGTAATGTCTTATAACTTCTCTTGGTAGTTCCATGGTCCTGCTAGGATTGCACATGAAAAGAATTATTGCGACGGAATATATGACTTCTCAACACTGGTGTCTGCATACATTGAGCGACTGTGACATAGCTTCTTCTGTTTGCTAGTGCTTGTAGAATTTACAGCAATATCTGGAAGTTTTTATGTCATTGCTTTGATGCAGGGTGGAGTGATGAAAACACACGATGAAGAGACCAAAAAGTTTTTTCGGCATTCATCTGTTATATGCGTTCTTTCACCACGTTATGCGAGCAATAAACTTAGCTATATGAAACAGCAGGTAGACCTTTTTTTACTTTAATCTTTTTGATAATTGGACGAATATTACTAGGCTCTGACCTTTTAAGATTATCTAATTAAAATTTTATATGGGTACGAGAGTGAGGTCTATTTTGCAGTAGTTATTATGTTTACAAAATGGTTCAGAATATGTCTAGGAGCATTTTGGATTCAATATGAGAGAATATTTCATGATTTTTTTCAGATGGTTTCTGTGAGAAGACAAAAAGTTATGAAGTTAGAACTGAGAGAAGTGACGTTATTTACTTATTTAATGTAAGGGTGTGTTGTGGGAATGCTGTTGAAAGCAGTATCTGGCTCAGCAGCACATCATGCTAAATTATATTAGAAATTTACCTATTTATCATTGTGTACTATGTATCTTAAGTGATTATCAACCAACCAATAGTCTAATTCATCTCTTCAAGCTGTCTATTCTTTCTTCCCATAAATAATGACTTACTCTTGTAATCATGCTTCCAGGTTGTTGGAAATCTTTTTACGCACCATCAGAAGTGTGTTCTTGTGGACACACAAGCATATGGCAATAACCGAAAGATTACTGCTTTTTTAGGTGGTCTCGATCTGTGTGATGGTCGTTATGATACACCTGAACATCGACTATTCCATGATCTTGAAACTGTTTTCAAGGACGATTTTCATCAGCCAACATTTCCAGTGAGTAGCTTTATGCTTCCATTGCCTTTTTTTGTTGCTCACTGCTTTGTGTGGCATTTCTTCATTTTGATTGTAGTCCCAGTTGGATTGCTACATGGAAGTAGACTATCTGATAACATTTCGGTGGTTTCTTTATAAGTTTACTTCGATCTCATGCTGTTTGCAATCTTGGTAACCTATTTTAGGAAGGAACAAAAGCACCAAGGCAGCCATGGCACGATTTGCACTGCCGAATTGATGGGCCTGCTGCATATGATGTTCTTATAAACTTTGCTCAACGTTGGCGGAAAACAACCAAGTGGAGAGAATTTAGTTTACTTAAGAAAAAGATGTCCCATTGGCATGATGATTCCATGATAAAAATTGAGCGTATTTCATGGATACTGAGTCCTGCCCTCTCTCTTTCTAAGGATGGAACTTATAGACCTTGCCTGGAGGATGATCCTAAACTACATATAGTCAGAGAGGATGACCCAGAGAACTGGCATGTGCAGGTTAGAAGCCCCTAGCTTGGACAAGTGAAACAGTGTTTTTAAATTCCTTTTTTTTTTTTTTTTTAAATCTTTTGATAACCTTTTTTCTTCCTGTTTTTCTCTTCGTTTAGATCTTCCGGTCCATTGATTCAGGTTCAGTCAGAGGCTTCCCAAAATTCTATGATGAAGCTCAAGCTCAGGTTATCAAATGAAAACTATCAAAATGCCCCTCAGCTCCTGTATTTTAGACTATTGGTAACATATTCAGCTATATTTTTATTGCAGAACCTTGTCTGTTCCAAAGACCTGGTGATAGATAGGAGCATTCAAACAGCATATATTAAGGCAATAAGATCTGCCCAGCATTTTATCTACATTGAAAATCAATACTTTCTTGGCTCTTCATATGCTTGGCCAGCATACAAAGATGCAGGTACATATAAAGTGTCTCGTCAGTCTTACCTGGAAATGCATTGAAGTTCAAAATTCTAATCATTAGATAAACTTACAGTTAAAAGATCTTTTTGGATTCTGCTGGATTCAACTATGTACCTGCTTAGATGATACTGGAATTTTGATCTTGTTTAAATTTTAATGGAAGCAGTAATTTAGAAAAAAATAAATAATGGGATTGCTATATGATAAGTTCACTTTCACACTGTTACCTACTAGATTAATGATTTACTACTTATCCGGGTATTCTCAAATGAAAAAGGTAAGAAACACATTCATTCTATCCCTCGTGATTTCACCAGTTAAGTTTCATTCTAAATTTATGTATTCTGAAGTCACTTCTTTTAATGGTAGGAGCTGATCATCTGATTCCAATGGAGTTGGCAATGAAAATTGCAAGTAAAATAAGAGCTAAAGAGAGATTTTCTGTGTATGTCGTTATACCAATGTGGCCTGAGGGTAATCCGAAAGATAATGTTATGCAAGAAATTCTTTTTTGGCAGGTAATCAAGCTAAGTTCTGCTAATAAAATTTCATTTTCTTCATGATGTAGAAAATTTTCCTTGGTGCATGTGTCAGATGTGAAGATAGCTGACTACTAGAAGCTTGATGAGTTATATGCATTTTGTTTTAGCTTGATGTTGAATTTAGCAATGCAAAGATACGATATAAAATGCTGCTTATTTCTTTCCACTTAAATTGGAGAGAAGGAAAGCCTTTTCTTCTAAACGACATTTTATTAGATTGTGAGAGTTCAATGTCTGTTCCATACATTATAAAGAGACGTATATTACTAAATTACTAATACTGAAAATTCTTACTCCATAAGCGAAGAACTCTCCAGAATAATTTGCTACTTTTGAAGCCATCCTGTGTAAGGGTTTAAGATATATTATTTCATCTGTCTAAGATATATTATTTCATCTATCTCTTAGAACAAACTCTCGTTGATCCAAGATTGTCACCTATTGTAATTTCGCAACATTAGCTAGACTGAGAAAATAACAAGGAACACTTTATATGATTTTTTTGCAAAGGAACATTCATTCACTAAAGTGCTCTTCATGTGTCTTTTTATTTCATAGAGCCAAACAATTCAGATGATGTATCAAATAATCGCTAAGGAGATAAAACACATGCAACTTCTGGATGCACATCCACTAGACTATTTGAATTTCTTTTGTCTTGGCAACCGGGAGCCGATCACAGGTACTGCTGCTGAGTCTGCGAATGGCGATAAGGTAGTTCTCCTAGAACAAGACTAATTTTTCTTGTGTATTCTTTAGCGTTGGTCCCATCAGAACCAGAATAGAATAGGCGGATAGTTAATGCACATCATATTCACCGATTGTTCTCCATATCATATGAACCAAATTTTCTATTGTTTCGAATGTAAATCAAGTTCGAACTTATCAGAGATTAATGAAGCAAACCCTTACATACCATGCTTTAATCACTATGATTACATATATCTAATGGATTTACCGTTCACACTTGCGCCTTAAATTATTTTGTTTCATCTAACCAAAAAATAAATAAATAAATAAAAAATAAAATAACAATTATGCATTGTCGACTCAGGTTTCGAATTCACAGAAGTTTCAGCGTTTCATGATATATGTGCATGCCAAAGGAATGATAGTGGATGATGAGTACGTAATAATAGGGTCAGCAAATATAAATCAAAGGTCAATGGCCGGCACGAAAGACACGGAGATAGCCATGGGAGCATATCAGCCCCATCATACTTGGCAAAAGAAGCAGCAACGTCCACGTGGCCAGGTTTTTTGTCCACTTCGATATATTTTGATATTGCTTTTGCAATAATGTGTTAATGTTTTCCATTTTGCTGAAAAAATTCGATATAACTTAAAACCTAATAGGACATGATCCTAGGTGAATGTTTTAATTTTAAACCTTTCACCTAAAACTAAATTCTAAGATAAACATAATTTTAAATGCATTGAAATATAAGAATACTATATACAAAAAAGGACATTTAATAATCTGAAAATGAATGTTAAAAGGTTAAAAAATCCCAAAACACTGTATTTTTGTCAAATCCTTAATTCATTGCATTTGCAGGTTTATGGATATAGAATGTCCCTCTGGGCCGAACACCTTGGAACTGTCGAGAAATGTTTCAATGAACCAGAGACACTCGATTGTGTGAGGAGAGTGAATGAAGTTGGTGAAGAAAACTGGAAAAGGTATGCTAGCGATGATTTGACGCTATTGCAAGGCCATATTCTCAAGTATCCTATGGCAGTCGATGTCGAAGGGAACGTGAGTTCCTTGCCAGGACATGAGAACTTTCCGGATTTGGGGGGCAGAGTTCTCGGGACTCATTCAACTACTATACCTGATGTCTTGACCACATGACATTTGACCCCACCATGATTGTAGTTTCATTTTTTTTTTTCTTTTTTTCTTTTCCCCCCATCATTTCTCTCTTGATCTCTCTTAAATAAGAGTTTGAATGTTGTATTTTGCACTCCTGTTGATTCACTGTGTACAAGTTGTGCTTGATGTATGAACGTAGGGGACTAGTGAAAGAAAGTGGCGTGAATGAAGTCTGGGATTGTTGTCATTTTGTGATGCACCATGTTGAGCTCCGAACAAGATTGCATGTCATTTGTATAATATCCCTTGTGTGAATATCCTATGGAGAATTTCATCATTGCCTTTGTGTAATTTATATATTTTATTTTATATAAAGATCAGAGCATCACGTATGCAATTATCCATATGCATTCAAATGTTAAAGTGGGAACTAGAAAAAGTATAATATAAGCTAGCTACCATTTTAACATTTGTGAAATACCGGATGCACATTTGATAAGTATCAATTATATAGTGAATAAGAATTAAACATGTAAACTTATTCATTCAATTAATACAAATAAATTAGATACATGTCTAACATTTTGTTATATACCGGTTGCACATTTGATAGTACTGGTTACATCAATATCAAAGTTATGATTATATTCCTTCAATTGGTTGAACGTTTGATGAGTATTAGTTGCATCAATATCAAAGTTTGATTATATTCCTTCAATTAGTACTATTTGATTAGATACTACTTAATATTTGTTAGGATCGGATGCACATTTGAGTACTACTCACATACTGAACAAGTATCAAACTTTAAATTATATTCCTACAATTGGTACAAAAAAATTAGGTACTGCATTGACATTTGTACATTAAAGTATAAGTACTAGTTAAATTAGGTTCAAAATTTAAATTATATTCCGACAATTCGTACAAAAAAATTAGGTACTACATCGACATTTGTACGTTAAGGATGTGATTGGTTGGAGTGATAAGGAGTGATATCACACACTTTATTAAGCATTATAAACTTTTGTGTTGTTTAGTTCAAGTATATCCGACCCTTGAAATTGATGAAGCCCTGTTTTACTTATAACAATTATTAGTAGAGATAATTATGTCAAACACGAGATCCTCAAGAAATATTTGCAAATATACTCTCATATTATTTTATTAGCAAAATTAAAACAACTATACAAAGTAATTGCACTTCTACGTGATTTGTGCAATTTTCTATTTTCTTTTTTCATTATTTTTTAAAAGGTAAGAGGTGGTTTTTTTAAAACAACTGCAAGACCTCTTCAACTACGCACACCACCTTCAACCAATCTATCTTTTCACATAACTTTCCTCTCGTCTTTTATGTGATTCTTCTCTCTTATTCTAATTTTTACTCTCATCTTTCACGCCATGGCGAAAATTGACCAATCCAGAGGCAGTCATCATCATGGCGAAGGAGAAGTCCCACAATCGAGATCTAGTTCTCGCCTCCGCAACCTTGAACCTGAAGTCAAAACCAAGCTTACAGAGAGGCAGATTCAATTTAAAAATAATTCTCGTACAAGAGGTGGTTCAGCTTCGAGTTATGGTGAGCGACGTCAGTCGTACGACGGTATTTAGATTCAGATCTGAGGACCAATTAGCGATTTGGCCAGCCCCAGGCTTAAGACAAGATAGTCCGCGGATTATCTCCATCTCTCTCTTCCCCAATACCCTATCTATTTTGTTAAATGCAAACTTGTATAATGATTTTTTTTCATTGTTTTGGTTTTATTTAGTTTATATTCAATATACGTATGATTAATGATTGATGGTGTTTCAACTTTTTTGAGAATTTTTTTCGTTTGATTTATTATGTTATGGGATATGTTGCTTTTGTATACAGTATATTTTTCAGTATATGTTCCCGTAAACACAATGGATAGTATATGTTTTGTGTATAGGCAGTATATGTTAAGTATATGTTTTTGTTGCCCGTGTTTTGTGTGTTTCTCATATGACCCGTGCTTCATTTGTTTATCATATACTCTACATATAATAAAATAATTTTTTTTTCGAAATGATAGATAATATTATAAATAAAAATGCACAAATGTGCGAATACACAGACCCTAGCTGAATGGAACAACCAACAGTTGAAAAAGTGGGAGGACAGGTCAGAAGACCGCCTAGAATCCCGACACTAGCAAAGCTAGAATAACAATGCTCGCAACTACACTTAAACCAACTAGGCAACTACACAAACAAGAACATAAACTACTAAACAAGGTCCCACTAGGATAATACCCGAGCGTCCGATCCCAACAGGATAATAAGTTGACACTCGGGCTTACATGGGCCAACGGCCCAAACCTAAAACACAAATACAAACACACGAACAAAGACACAAACACCACAAAAGAAGAACAACAAAACTAAAAAATAATAACATAACCCTTCCCCAGCATACGAACAGGCCCAACCAGCAGTGAACAACCGACACAAGAGAAATTCCAAAGCCCGAGAAGCCATTACCGAAACTGTACAACCGCCTATACAGTAACCGAAACTGAGCCCCGGATTGACCTGTCTCTAACCGAGAGAGAAATGACCAGCCCCCACACCAGCTCCACCCGAACCCGTCTAACACCACTAGCCGAGCTCAAGAAAATCGGGTCCCCCGCCGCCTAACACCACTAGCCGAACAGGGGAGGTGAGGGTGGTTCGGTCCCTCAACCACAACCGCCGCAACTAGAAACATCGCGGCAATCAGAATCCCGCCCCACCCATTGACCCACGCTCTGCCCTACACCACCACATATCTCCGTCGACCAGAGGACCAGGCCCCACAAGAAGAGGCGGAGCCCCGCTGGAAAAAGTAGAGCCCTAGAATCGCTAACAAGATGAAGATGGAGGAGGAGCTTACCGCCACAAATTGGAGCTCCACCAGCGACTGAGGGGAAGACACCAATCGCAGTCCAAACGCCGACCTTGAAGGACGCCACCACCAACCGGAACCCCTTCAACAACCGAGGACCCTACCCCCGATCGCAAACCATCCACAGCAACATCGGAGGCACGTTACGTTAGGGGTGGGCTGAGTGGTCAAGGACGACCCCTAGCCGTGGCTTCGCCGTCGCCGAGGAAGGCAACTTGACCGAAAATTTGAGGGAGCGACGAGTGGATTTTTGGGATAGGGTTTTCGTCGGGGAAAAAAGAAGGCGTTTTTATCAACTCTGAGCTTTTTCCTTTATTGTTGTCTTTGTTCTTTTGGCTCTTTTTAAATAAAACAATTCATTAAAATAATGATTATGATCAGTTTATGATATATATGATAGGTTATATACTGAACAAAAATTCAAATATCACAATTGCGATTTAGATAAAAATGTTATGTAAATAAAAAATCAGGTTATATACTGAATATAAACGCAATAAATACTATCTAGCTGGGAAATTTATTTTTTTTTTCTTTTTACATAATTAAAGAAACTTATATATTTTAGGTAGTTGATGGATATATCTTGATAACTCCAATTAATATAAATAACAGAGTCATATATATATATATATATATAATATTTTCTTTCTTAGATTAGGCAAATCACTTCCAATACATGTCATTTTCTCTCTCTTAAAACTTATGATTGGCGTAAATTAAGGATATTAGTTACCATTTATTTAGGTAACTGATAAATAATGGTAAACTCAATAATGGTAGATATATAATATTTTCACTCATTTATGGCATAGATGCAAAAATAATGTGGTGAATGGTCAATCTGCAACACTTTTCATATTATGCGGTGCATGTGTAAATTTCCCTTATTGGTATACCTCTTCACATGGTCTTCGCCGGATAAAATTTCCAATGGAAATGCTTTGCTGACATAAAGTATTTGCCCTCATATAAAAGAAGAAAAACTGCAAAACGCACCAGCAAATGGTATAATGGATATCGCGTAACCTTAATTTTGGCAGCTCTTCCTCAACATGATGGTACGCGAGGTAAATGTATGTTATTTCTTCTCGAAAAATCGTTAAATTTCGGTTTCTTTTATAGAAAGATATGATGTTTTGTGTATCTGTATGTCGGGTGCAGGGACGAATGCACACTAGGCCTGGGCTGGGCTGAAGCCCAGGCCTTTTAATTTTTTTTTACTACTACTAAGTTTAATTTTTTTTTGTTTTTTTATTCCTAGTCCAGCCCAACAAAAATAAATAAAGAACTAAGGCCCAAATATACCAACTTCTTAAATCCTCTTATGTCCTAAGGCCCTGCTCGTTATCAATTATCACCTCATCCTCACAAGTCATAACAATTAAGACCTAAAAAAAATTGTTCTCTTTTTCGCTTCTTCCCTCCCGCCCCGACTCCCTCTCAAGTCTCCATTGTTGGACTTATAATTTCTACAACGGACTGCGTTCACCTTCACTCACCGACCACCAAAGTCGGCCATCCGATTCAGAAGGTACCAAAAAATAAAAATGTCTTTACTTCACAAACCCTATATGGCTAGATTGTGCTGTGAAGGGAGAAAAATAGCTTATGAGGTTTAACTTGTTAGACATTCATTATTGAGTGCTTGTTCTAGAAAGGAAAAGAGAACTTTGAAGCCTAATTGCTTGAGCCCAGAAACATTCATAAGATTTGTCTGCGATTTTTAATTTATTTTTTTATCTGGATTTTGAGCAATTGGGTGTGTTGAGATTTAGCATTTGCTTCAAATTTTTAGTACGGATTGTACAAGATCAAATTAATTTACACTTGTGTGGCTGTATAATTCACTTGCACTGATTTAGTCAATTAATTCATTAAATATTTACATAACGTAAGAAACCCAAGAAAAAATAGTTTTGAATTCGTATGTTGAGAATCAGTGCCAACTTTTATAATAATTTATGATGATTGGATTGAAAATTGAAAAAAAAAATAAGGCTAATATCAAAATTATGAATGTTAGAGTTTTAAAATTGTAAATCACTTGCTATTTAATATTATGTATGGTTGGGTTAATATTTGAATTAACATTATTACTTTGTAAAATTATTTTTTCTTTGGTTGGGTCAATATTTGAATTAAATGTACATTTTTGTCCTAATATGTTTAGCAATATCATTTGTAGGCAAATATATTTTTCTATATATTTTTCAACGATATGGTGTCTACTTCATTTTTGAACGGTTGATCATGAATATAGAATGTTGAAATGGTTAGTTCAAAAATTTATGTTATTTTTATGAAAAATGAGTATCTAAAATTTTAGCTCAGTCTATTCTTAATTTCTGGATCCGTCCCTGGTCGAGTGAGATTTAACTTCGTTGGATTTTGCTGAATTTCGGTTAATTTTTGAAAGATAACTTACCGAAGAGGAAAAAATTCATCTCTTGGGTTTTGGGCGACTTTTCTCCGGTCCAAAATCGAGGTAAAGTGTACGTAATGG